CATAGCAGTCAGCTTCTGGAATCAAACCAACAATCAAGGTGAACTTGCTAGCAATTGAACCATCATTCAGGTTCGTTTATTAATCTATCTCGTTTGCTTTAAAAGGCGGTGGTCATCGCGCTGAGCATGTGTGACATTTGTGTTGATAAACCATAATCCAATGCGCTCTTCTAATGGAAATCACAAGTATGAGGTTTCACCTTGGCGCGACTTGCACTATTTATCTCCGGTGACTCCTTCGATACCTTCCAATCCCCTAAAAATACCTAATTAAAGCTTGGTAAAGTCCTATTTTTGTTTATATTAGGCCCATATATCGCGCGCATGCGTGGCGCGACGACTATCGCCCTTTAAAGAGATGACAGACAGAATTGGTAAACATGCTAGACTATTTAGCAGCTAACAGAGGCATTAAGTACTTACTTACAGTTATTCACATTCTCGCTCGGGCCATCCAGATCCTCAAATCAAAATCTAATCATGATGTCACACAACTCTCATCTCGAGAAGCCACAGATGAGAGGACATAATTTGCATCCCTCCTTACTACAGCATGGAAAATTGAAAAGAATGATATTCAAGTATTTCACGACACAACAGACTCACATCAAGATGAAGCCACGAGAAGTTACCTAAATGTGCTCTATGATCACAAATGTGCTCCATGGACAATCAAAGTTTGTTATTCATTTGGTGAAGATATATAAAGTTCAGAATAGAGGAGATTTTTATTATCACATTTGTTTTACTCAGACCCAATTGTTTGCAGGACCTTCTAAAGTGAGAAGCTGTACTGAATACAATTGCTGACAGTATTATGGTTTACTAGGTGGATAATCTTAAAGAAAAAGAAGGTTGATAGTATAAAGTCATATAATTTTAATAAAATGAATGGGCTATGCTTTATTCTTGGAAACTGGAAAATCAAGGATTATTTTCGTTAGCTAGAAAGAAAAACCAATAATCTTTCAGGTGAAGCAGCAAGGCTCCAGGTGCAACTGGAGGGAATACATCCATGAGTTCAAGCCTTGTGAAGGAACCCTTACCTACACTTCTTCAACATGAATCAGGATATTAAGGTACATAGCTTTAGTGGCCAGCTTGGTACCAGAGTTTACTTCAAGTATGTGCTGCTGTTTACTTTGAAGCTGTTATATTAAGCTAAGTATATTCTATTACCAGTTGCTCTTGCAACTCAATTTATTGATGAAAGTGCTACAAACCTTCCCCTTTCTCAAGATAGGTGTATAATCTTTCTTCCACCTTTGTACATCAGCTGTAGATCTGTACCAAAGAGGTTTCCTTCATGATCAAGTCTGGCATTTATCAACATGAGAAAAAACTTCAATCGCAACATATTTCAAAAACAGTCTGCAAATGTCTTACAATGTAACTGCTAACTAACCTGTCTACCAACTGTACTCATTTTCTTGGTGGCTGCAAACACTGTTAGACAAAACATTTCTATAAAGTAGACTACACCATCATCAGGTATGACTTTGATGTTAAGTTCGCCAATTACCAATAATCAAACCCCTCTAAGAAGTCTCCCATGGACATATGTTATATGTAATCTAATTATAATCGAGTATATTAACTGCAATGAATACTATATAGTGTACTCAGTTTCCGAAAATCCCACAGAAAAAGGAGACAAAGCAATCCTGATATGTGTCACTACAATCCATCCATCTACATCTGCCCATGAGGAGACACTGTATCTGGAACCTTAATTTCAGTATGACGTGGTACATGTACCCAACGACCTTAACCTTATTTTCGCCCTCTTGTGTCATGCACAAGCATGAAACTTGGCACACATGTAGTTCATATGTGCCCTCTAGTTGCCAACATAGTCGAACAACCATGTTTGCCTCTTAGTATTATTTTATAGTCCAATTGCAAATGTGCTAGAACTTGCAATGGGGTATATTCAATGATTTTGTTGCTATAACATTTCCACAATGTCGTTAATCAGAATTTTACTGAATTACTGCAGGTATATTTCAATGGCTCCAAGTTCATTAGGAGTGTGAATTAGTCTTGTAAGTATTGACAATCTAATCACTGCCCATATGGTGCTTGCGTTGGTAGTACGTGGTTATGCTAATACACACTAATTAGCACCTACCTATTGAGTGTGATTGAGCAGCAAACCTAGCTGCTTTTGCTGCAGGGGTCTTTGTTAAGAAGGTTTTAGGAATACTAAACAGACTTTAAGATGTACAGATTTGATGCTGGACAAAATTCAACAATATAAAACCTAAGACTTATATGAAAAATGCATGGATGGAATTCTCATTAAACCTACGAAAAGAATTCACCTTGCGACACGCTTGGCACACAACCTGATTAAACATGCACACAACCTGATTAAACATGGACACGTATAAAAATAGGTGTATCTTTGGATAGTACCTACATGGTAGCGTATATGCTATGCTATGCAGGTTTTCCTAAGGTAGCAAATCACAATGCTGATTCATTGAAAAAAGATTGAACCCATCCCTTGCATCTTTGTATGAACTGATCAATGTAACAATCTTTTGTAACACTCATTTATACATTATGAGTCACCCATGAATGTATTGAAGTGCTGTTATGTGCTTGGTCATGCGAAGACCAAAACAGTCTTTATATTTGAAACTTCCTGACCTTCGTAGTTAGACTTGTGTAGAATTCTGTTATCTTAATTTTGAAATATTATCTCAACACATATTGAAATCTCACTTGTTTCGAAAAGAGCTAAACACAGCAATGGTCTTGGACAGTCAGTCTCCAGGTGTAGCCAAACACTCTGTTTAATCAATGCACAGATAAAGAGCAACCTATAACCCAGATATCTGACAAGAATGGTTGTAACTTCTTTCCTTTATGGAATCTACTAGTTCCCCCCTGGGACCCTACGTTTTAGTTTGATTCTGAACTAAACTATATTCAACAGTTCACTAAACAAAATGTGGTTATTCTACTTATAGTTAAGTTGTGAATGAGTGGTTCTTTACAACCACTCACTCATGATTCTTCAGACGCAAGAATGTTGATCCCAATCAGTTGACACATCTAGTAATGGGTGAGGGAAAGTGTTTTTTATGAGGGTCTGAGGGTGGTGACAGACACACACACACCCTGCCACGAACTTACACTCACATAAGATGAAAAACATGTCTCCCTTTCAAGGCTCCTTGTAGGTGCTTAGACACCAAGTGCTACATTGCCACAGCAAAGACAATACTCTGCTGCTCCTGAAGAAATGTTGTGAAAATACTTAATGTAGTAGGTGACCAATCACATTGCTTGATGGTATTTTAATAATAAGCAATAAGCAAATCTCATCAGATAATTTGTATAAACAAACTGTGTATGAACTATGTATCATTGCATTTGTGTGAATAAGGTACACGCTAACATTATTCAATTATTATGCAAATTACCTAATTAACATGCATGAATTTGTACCAAAAAAAAACCAGCTCTGGAGTTTATCATGGAGTATCCAGCCAGTGAGATATTGGTGGAACATGATTTGAGATACACAAGCACCCACCCAGACAGACAGACAGACAGACAGACCAAAACAATACCTGCCACAACAATACCTTTTATTTCAAAATTGCACACACAGAAGTCAAAAATAGCTAAATAGACATACTGGTATGTACCATATTTTTCTCTTTAGTTAGTGAATTCATTAACAATAGTGTATCAGACAGCACACATCATTTTGCAAGGTATAATTTATTTTAAAGAAAGTTTAAAATTCATTTCTGAATTGGAATGAAATTGTTTCCAAAAAAACAAAACAGTGATAATTTTGATAGCTTTGTATACAAGAATATCACAATGCCACCACATCATACAGAACAGATAAAAAAAAATATCACTGTTGGTGTTACATACTTCAAAGGTCTTCATAGTGTATGCACTACCAAGAAGCTAATTGGAGCTTGACAACACACATGGCATAGTGACCCTTCACTAAATAATGGGTGTCCAAATCCAAACAAAAACCATGATTTATCGGCGATAGCAACTTACTGAGGGGCCTCGTAAAGGGGGGTTCATGCGTTGAAAACAGATAAAAGCACATATACACACATGGGTTTGTAGTAAGTTTTCTCTATTGAAAAACACCAGAGCTTGCATGTCCGCATGGATTCAACTCATTGTAGTGAGTTTTATAGAGCTATAATAAAAGGCAGACCGGCCAAGAAGTTTGTAATGTCGCGACTTGAAACCCTGTCAACACCTTTAGACAGATGGCTGTCACCCTATGTGTCTCAGTAATTGACGAACAGAAAGTGTTAAGTTTTCTCCTCCAGCCCTTTAACGACCAATTACATACTAGATACAACAAAACATTAGTTCTTTTATTTCAAAACTGCTGGCAAAACGCATCAGAATTTGTTGGGTGCTGGCCAACTACCCACGATATAGTCGAAATCGCAACTTAGATGCGACTTAGGGGGTCACTGTACATACTGACAAGCTCACAGGTTTACGTTGAAAATCGTTCAAAAAAGTCTGTTAATATTTTTGAAAATTCTTGAGAACATAACACGAACAATAGAAGACATTTACGTACATAAACAAACCGCATAATAATTGCACATAGATATACAATTTTTACGATAATTCCATATTCAACGGTTCATCATTTCAACCTGAATACATGTAAAATAATATAATTTTAAGATATTTACTGTCAGTTTGACGTCAGCGGACATAACAATTACTGAATTAGTTTTGTGTGAATCTGAGATGTAAGTGAGAAACGATGCTTTTTTGACAATAATCACAGCATAAAAATGCATGGAAGCAATGGCCGCCATGAATCATACATTCAATTGTGTAAAAAAAACAATGTATTTTACCTCGGTACATGCATTGTGTACTTCACATGGAACACATATCGAACACAATGTGGTATAACATCTATGGTATTAAAACAATGATTTTCGTGTAGACCAATTATCATTTTACATAAAATTGATGACGTTTCAATCATACTTAGTGAAATCATTCAGTTGCTGCGCATGAATATCAAACAAGTACCCATATCTTCCACTACGTTTGGCTATTTCAAATGCGGTCTCCTGCGCAGCGTTCTTCAACTCAACGTTAATGAAACGATTCGTGAGTAGCAGTTCCAAAGTCTCCTTGCCATCAGAGTTTGTCGACGCCAGATGCAAGGGCGTTTGCCCACCATTAGTTTGGCTATTAATATCAGCACCGTTCTGAAGCAGCAAAGAGGCTACTTGCGCATTGTTCCATTTACACGCTGAATGGATCGGCTGCCAACCATCAGCAGTCTTGGCTTTGACATTGGCACCAAGTTTTAATAGCATTTCAATGGCTTGCGTATGGTCGTTATACGATGCACGATGGAGTGGAGTATAACCATCATTATCACTTACATTTATGAGATTTGGATTTTGCTCATACAGTTCCTCAATAATATCAATATGATTGTTTTCCGCTGCCCACAGAAGTTTTTCACCATCATTCATTTCGGCATTTTCATTGAATTGATCATCGTCATCATCCCAAGCACTTTTCCAACTACTTCGTCTCTTTCGTTTTGATTCTTCCATTACGTGTATAAGTAATTCAGTATTTTCGGTAATTCTATCTTGTGAACATCCATCAAACTCATTGCACAATTCAGCTACAGCGTTTTCCACCGATTCACCGTAGACATGATCAGCCTCTTTCCTTTCTTCTCTTTCTTCCTGTTCTCTATTAACAGCTTCATTATCTTTCACACCCTCCCCATTGTCATCCTCCTCCTCTTCCAGCCTCAAAGTCGAACCGATACCATACTTCTCTTGGCTCAACGTCCTGGGGAGGAAACGTTTTATTTTGTTGCTTACTTTCACATTCTCACTCGCCACATTTTCTCTTTCATCATGCTTAGTCGTTTCTGCTGTTTTTAATTTTACGTAATTGCTGGTTTCTTCAGGCTTTTCAATATCCCCTTCACTGGATTCCATTGCAAAACTGAAAAAAATATGTAAAAAAAATGTAAATTACTGTGTCACAAACAAAACATCATACATTTTGTTTTGTTTCTGCATAGTGGCACAA